TCTATTCATTTGAACTAATATTAATTTGCAAATTATTTACACACAATTAGTACATTCCAGCAAAATACCAATACCTTTCTTGGTTCAACACTGAAGTCCCTTATTTATTGTTAGTAATGCAGATACAATTTATATAGCTTTATTTATCTCTGAATGGAATATATCTGTGTGTGTATGGGGGCATGAATTTTCGAATCCGCCAGGGACTTCTCGGGTACTACAAACGGTCCTGTTTTCTTAAAACAAATATTCAGATATTGAAATAATTTTGATGAAATGCTAAGCTCAGTGCTTGCTAATTCGAGCGATGTATCCCCCCCCCTCCCATCTACACGCAGGTGAAAAAATAAAACTATGTTTACGAACATTACGATGACAGATCAAATCATCTAAAATACCATGTTCTCATTCCGTATGAACTGTATTTCAGTATATATGATCATGAGCGATGGCTCAGAGCATGAACTAATGTCACTGCAGAGCCTCTGACCGGGAGATCCTAGATTCGATTCCCGATGGTGGCAGGATTTTCGGTACTAGCTTGACAGCTAGGTCGAATTCAGTCGCTGTCTGGAGGAGAATTCTAGCGACCGACTGCTCTGATCGGTAGTTTCTCCGATCAACACCAGGCGAATGCCGGAGCAGTACCTAACAAACGGGCCACGCACCGCGCGCGATCTTTCCTACCTCTTCCTTGTCCTATCTGTCCCCTTACACACACACACACACACTTACACTAACACGCACTACACAAACACACATGCCGGGAGCTAAGCTTGTCTCAGCTGGGGCGGTGCCCTGCTGGAGGGAGATACCAGGTTGGAGAAAACCCCGCTAGGTAATGGTAGGTCGGCGCCGGATCGCGTCATACAGCGATGGAAAGGTCACCGCCACCTCCGGAGCAAAACTCACACACTACACTTACGGGACTAATGACCCTATTAATTTATATGCTCGGAATCACTAAAACAATCAATCAGTGTAGACGACTATTATTGACAGTACAGTTTCATCTACAGGTGAAAGGTTTCAATTGCATAAAGAGCAAAGTGATGCGTTTAATTTTGTATATGACAACAAACTAGCAGAAATTAGTAATTCAGATGTATTAAAAATGTAAGGGTCTATAATTTAAACTGACCGATGAAACTGATACAGATAATATAAAATATATAAAAGCAATAGAACTTGCAGGTAAACTAAATATAATCTCGAAATTTCTCAAATAAAAATCATCACCAACTGAAGTGGATGCATTCATATATCAAAATAAACTAACCGGCCATTGCCTAATATTACAAATTATACTAACTTTGCCACTTATAGTAGCTACAAGAGAAAGATCATTTTCAAAATTAAAACTTATTAGTCTAAAAACATCGTACGATCAACCATGTTACAAGATCTACAAATAGATCTGGTAATATCAATTGAAAGTGAAATCTGCAACGATATTTATTTAGAGTATCATAAAATGGGGGTCTCGGTGGATGAGAGGTTAGCTTACTGGCATGCTGTAGGTTCGATCCCCGCCAAGATGCCCGGATTTTCGAGGAGCGGAAAATCCACAGTAGCCATGTCACACTTGTGGCATGTATAAGAGCCCTGGCGGTATGCCAATCAAAATTAAATCCCTCCGTTCGCCCTAAAGAGATCTCACTTTCCCCCTGATACAGGATCGGATATAGTAACTGAGAGCGACATCTGACGGAGAAAGTGACGAAGTCCAGGCGATTAGGGGACAGCCTACGAGGCGCGCGTGCTCGATAAGACGCGCCTGCCAGACCCGTGTCAGAGGTAGTCTAAAGAAGCCTGGGTCGAAAACTCAGGGAAGGCAACAGGAAACCACCCCGAGTAATAATCCTAAGAAAACTCACAATGGGTCACATAATTTGTGGAAGGGTAATAAAAGGGGTGAATTTGAGTATAAGCGAGCAAACAAATATTGTAATGATCTTAATCAGTATTTTATTTTCAAAAATGAAGATCATAAGAAAATCTGCTAGTTTCAAAGTTCTAAAAGTGCATTGTACATAGATATTATTTATTATTTCAGTAAGATTTTAACACTTCAGTAAATATTATTTTAAACACCTAAACTTGTCTAATATTAAAAGTATGTAATTAAAGTTTTCCTTGTGAAAGCGCCAAAATCTACTTGCCCCAGGGCAGTAAACCAGTGTGTGATGTCCCAGAGCCCTCTAGTGTAGTAGTGCTACATTTGGCCACCCTGAGCATCACTTATCAATAAGAAACATCCCTATTTGACCTGCTGTTCCCATTTTGAACAACTTTCCCCTTCCCCCTTTAAACCCGTTCCCGAAAAAATTTTCATTTGCTTATATCTCACAAACACTTGGGTTACGATATTTTACATCTGAACTTTTCAAATGTGTAACAGGAAATAAATCACGTTTAATATATTTTGATTTCAAAAAATTATTTCTATTAGGGGGCTGCAACATGATCTGTTACTAGCCCTGTATGTAATTTTATTTAAATGAATTGAGAAACCTACACCAGGGTGACTTTGTGTATAAGCGAGCAAACCAATATTGTAATGCACTTATTCAGTATTTTATTTTCACAAATGAAGTACTAATTCTAATTAGTATTAGAAACTCAATATCATTTTTTATTCATTTCATTGGTTTCTGATTTATACAGTTATAATTTTGTGTTGTCCTTATCTGTTTAACCCTTAATTTCTCTTAAAAATATATGTTTCTATTTTCTATTTTTATTTCTACAAATTGCAGATTTATACAAAATGTAAGACAATATTATATTCTTTTTTTTAATGATAGTTGAGAGATGACAAATGCAATTTTATCAATGTGAAAAAACACAAGGTTCAAACATAAATAAAGAGAAATTTAATATACCTTTATGGGAGCATGAAGTCTGTCATCTAAAAAATGTGACATAACCTGAAATGCTTTTTGTCATGGAGATTTATATCACATGTACAAAATGTTTTTTTTGCACTAAAATTGTGAATAACAGTGCTTTGTATTGATTTCCCCTCCCCCCTCAATTCTGCACAATTAGTTCCACAATTTGAACTTTTGTTTTGATGTGTGCAAAATAATTGTTTCTTGCACCATTTCAATTGTTTTTGGCCTTAATCTTTCAGTCTTAGCAAAGAATACCTCAATCTCTAAAAACAATAATTGTAATTTAAAGAAACAATTTGAAGATAAATCAATTCATACTCAGTTCTTAAAAAAAACTTTTAAGCCCCTTGAATTATGAGATCAAATAATTAATGTCCTGAATATTAAAGATGATTATAACTATGGAGCGGATATTAATTAAATATTGTTTTTTTTTCTTTTTTTGCTTTCGAACAATAAGTCCTTTTTCTTCTTAAGTTTTAATGCATTTTTTCACTGAATTCATCAATTTTACTATCATTTTAATGGTACTTGCTTCAAATAACATTTACATGATGCAATAAATGTTCTCCACCAAAATCCTGAGTAGCCTCTTTGATTTCTTTGTTCAGGAATTGTAATGTCAGCCATTGTGAGAATTTAATCTAAGGTTTCTGTGACTACAATCAGTGCCATTGTCTCTTCAGCTGATTTCACAATAACTAAAAACACAGAAATTCTGGAACAGAACAGCCCAAACCCAAATTTTTCAAGCCGAATTCTCTTGAAGAATGGGAAGAAGCTTCAATTACATTAGTAACATATCCAACAGCTTGAGTTGTTTATCTGAACTGGTTTTGATCAAATTTTTTATATAATTTTTCTTTGCTTTTAGGGCATTTTAAAACATTTTAAGAGCGTTTTTTAAATCATTTTTGGTGATCTTTACGTCATCAAAATCTGTCCCCTCATTATAACATCATCAACTGATGTGAAAATACCAAATTGCATTCTGAGAAGACCAAATGGATTTACGACTAAATAGATTTAACACTGAAGTGCTAGGATGTGACAGAATCATGAGTAGAACAGATCGAGCAATTGGGGAAACCCTCTGCCTGATGTAATTTCCCAAAAATATTTTTACAATAATCAAATATACATTTTTTTATTTGAAAAAGTAACAATATTTATTAATTGTCATAAATAATATGTATCAACAAAGTTGAATCGAATGTATGAAGGTAGACTTCATTGATGATTTTAAGCAAATGCCAATTTTACTTCAATGATGCACATTTTAAAAAATGTTTATGATGATATGATTCAAGTGTGCCAGTAAGTAAAAATTTAATAATGTGCATTTCAACATCTGGGTCTAAGCTAATTTTACATAAATTTAGTTTTATTTTTCAACTTAGTTGAAAATAATTGCTTGTTTTGTGCTACTTTCCTAAGGCAATTTTGTTTTTAATATGATGGGCCCAAGCCACAAGAATAGATATACATGGAACTTGGCTGCATAATACACTTCTTATCACAATGATAGTGTTAAATTACAATGTACACAATACAGCATAAATACTTTCAAATATGCACTCTCACTCAAGACTGGTAAGAATGATGCTGAAAAAGATGGTTTGATTTGAGTTATTGATCGTTGAAAAATAATAAAAACTGTATGTGACGTATGAGGGAGAACTATTTTTGATACCTGTAATCTGTAAACACACCAAGTGCTTCATCCTGCATTCCAAATCTTGGAGTGAACTACAAAGCAAAACCACAGCAGTTTCTACCAGGACGATTTAAATGCAAGCCTATCTAAAATTAAAAGCACAAGTGCTCTTATTGAGGCACTTGTAGCATATTTCTGTAACTATCACTTTCATTTCACTTTTCTGTTCAAATTTCATAGGTTGCCATTTTTTGCCCATTCCCCATTGTTAGTAGAACAATTTCAAAAACGCAAAATAACTAACTTATTTGTATTGCCTCTTTACAAAATAAGATTACAGATTTTCATAATTTTCTTATTTAGACTCTTAAAAATGGAACTTTGGTGAAAGTTCTTAAAACTCAGGTTTTGTGTTTACATCCCCTTCACTTGTGATTTTCTCACAGTTCTCCACTTGGTTGGCCTCTTGTATAACAGAAAAAAAAAACCTAGAAAATTGTACCTAATAAATGATGGGCAGTTTTGGTTAAGAATGGTCTAAGTTGTGTGTGATAAAAACTTATTTAATCAAAGAAATAAATTTCTTGTATATTTTCTATAATGATTCTTAATTTAACTGCAATTATCAGAGAAGATAACCTGCAGTATATCATATCAATTCAATATGCTCATTATCTATTTTTATAATCTCTGATCATCACCATCAACAAATCAACAATATATTTCTGGTCATTTATCATACATTTCAACTATAAGTCAATACATTTAAAAAATATTTTAGTTTTTTCATATTTCAGGGAAAATTGTTCTTATGAAGTTGTACACAATACATATATGGATAATACACATTCATAAAATTAAATTTTACATTAGTTAAAAATACCTATAATCTGGGTGCAAAAATGTTTGTCTGCCTCCTGTGGCAATTCAAAATTTCACAAGTGTAACTTTATTCAGTAACTATTTAGGTCAATTATGAAAACTATGTTGCCACATGACGTCATATTCTTAAGAAACTATTTACTCAAAAAGAAAACATTCTTCCTTGCAGGATGTTCCCCACTTCAGTTTGAGTTGATATGATGTGACTGAAAAGCTGTGTGAAAGTAATAAAGGTATTTGGTGACTGTTCTCTTTCTGCATAACTTTTCCAAAATGAAAATTGGGTAGAGTGAACCAAATACATGACAATTTCATTTGTAAGCTTCCTAAAACAGACTGATTTTATCTAGAGTAGTTCTTAAGATAAATTTGTTTAGGAAAGGGAAGACAAATTTTACGCATGTGACGTCTTGATTTTATGTAACGAATTTATTTAAAATTACTGTAAAAACTGTACACTTATAAAGTTACTTAAAATTTTCCTGCTTCACAATTTAATTCTTGAATATATTTTACTGAAAATTACTCATCAACTTTTAACACCTTTCATTGCAATTAGTGGTATTATATGTTTAGTTTCAAGATGTAGCACCAGATTATCATTTTATATTCATCCATTTCACCCATTTGTTTAATTTCATTATAACTCAAAAAGATATCAAAAATCATTACAAGTTAAAAGAACAAAACCATTAAACTTTATATGAATAGGATACACTGTAATGTAACAGAGGCTCAATAAGAAATAAAAAGCAGAAAGAAACCCCTGAAGAGGATTGTACAAATTAATGTATCAAAAGTTTCAGTTAATAAACTTATAACATTGCAATGAAAGAAATAAATTTCCTAAAATACGAATATTTAGTCTTTCATATGCATTCAACAAATACATTAGATGGATAATAAAAAGAAAAGAGTATCATTTTCTTATTTCAACAAAATATGTATAATTAATTACAATAACACTAGGTTTCCCTTGTGGTCACAAGTAACAAAAACTTACTGCATACCTATATTCTTTATAAAACAAAACAAATACAACATTCCTTGTTTCAAGACAAACATTTCTAGAACCTGATGGTGATAACATATACATACAATTCTTCCTCAATGCCCCACACACACCGAGTCAACAGCAAGCATACGCTCTCGGTGCACGCATAACAACAACAACAGATTCTCAAAAATAGCAGCACACTATTTAACTGCATAATAATTTATGAACAGTTACACCTCATGAGTCGTTCAAAAATATAATCCAAATAATGAGTATTTTTAATCACTTAGATGAAAACGGAAGAATGATGGATTTCGGCTCTCAGTCCCCTGTCTTGCAAGCACAACTGTACAAGCTCCACATTATTGCTGATAAACCTGATCCAAATTTCAAAAATACTAAAAATGTTACATATATTTACACACACTCATTGACACACATGCATTCTTCTTATATATCTATATAAGCCAATGACAAATGGACAGAATATATCATGAAATTAAATTCTGTACAACCACATCAGATACTTCATTTACAGATTTAATTATTTATTTAGCTAGTTGGCACACAAAACAATAAAAACAATGAGGCACTGCTTATAAGATTTTGTAAAACAATAAAAATGTATTCTGCACAAATATTGTTAAGTTGCTTCATAGTCTGCCTGTTCCTATCTGTTATACAAGCATCAAACTGTAGGGCTGGTTATAGATTAGGCCATTGCTTTCTTCTTGAATTTCTTTACATGTGCAATGGGTTCTTCCACATCTAAAATACATACATAAAAAATAAAAATCCACATAAACCAGTTGAACTCAAAGCTCTAATCCCCAAGATGGTCTTTGGTCCAGATATTGAATAAACATGCATGGTGGCCAATATCCTTCCTTCCTAGCACTTACATGCATTGTTCAAACTCAAAACAAGAAAATGTCTGCTTTTTTTTTCTGCCACCATGCATTCGGCAACACAAGTTTACAACCAGGCCTGGGGTGGCTGAGCTGTTTATGTGGTTTTGGCAGTTGGCAGCTGGGGCATAGTGTAGAAACAGCACAGGACAGCACATAACATTTACTGTGTAGCACTTTTCAGTGCAAGGACAAACTCAAAGAAGACTCAGCAGCACAGCATGGGGAGATTGTACTCCCTTGGACACCCCACAGTGGGCAGCAGGCTCTACTTGTGTTGCCGAGTGCTGGCTCCAAGGGTGAATTTTGCAGTCGTGAACTTCACAGCAAGCACCAAATGCTGGCAGCCAAGTGCCGACTACAAAAACTGAGATGAATTCCTCCTCTACATTGAGATTAGGCAAATAAACTTATTGTGATTCTGGATGAGACTAGGGTTTAATTCTATTGCAAGTCAGGGAAGAGATGTTTCTCATTGGTTCTTTACCCTTAAAGGCACTTGAAAATGGTCAGGAGAAAAGAGCAGGCAAATGGCAGAAAGCAGCCACCTCTACCAGTATGGGTCTTCCTCTGCATAGCATGCCGTCTCCCTGACCGCAGGTTATGGTGCAGGTCAACTACCAGGGAAAACTACTTTATACACACACACACACAAACGTCTTGTAACATGACTGGGATGTCATGAGCTTAGGTCCTACCAGTAAAGGAGGTCACGGAGGGGGACTTGACATGCCATCTAGACTACCGTCTGTCCGAACCGAGGTTATAACCTAAGAAACAGCTGCTACAGGCAAACTAGATGGGGCGGAGCAAAGCGGCCCGGCCCACTGAGCGGCTCGGCACACCAGTTCTCTTGCGCTCTCAGAAGTGGAACAAGGAGACACTCAACAATCCTCAAAACCAGGCTCAGTTCCTTAGATACGGGTCGTCTGCTGGCTGGTGGGATGGTCCGCGGGTGGCCAAGGCATGAGCTGGTGCATGTTGCGTAGCATGGCACCTCACAGAGGTCGTGTGAAGTTAGCTGGGAACATACCCTTCTCTCCCGAACTTTCTTTCACACCCATCAACCAGCCTTCCTCCTGTAATAAGAAGAGGAGGATTTAGAAAGTTCTGATAATGCACATCTCCATTTTCAAACATTGTATCAACATATATCAATACTCTTGCTAATACTGAGTAACATTAGAGAGAGGTGAAAATGTAGCATAGAAGCCAAAAATTCAAATGACTGAATACATTTTGTAAATATTTTCTATGAATTTGTACAGTCATACAGTCTACAAAGTCTTCTCAAATGGAAAAATCAATAAATTTTAAAATGCATACAAGTATGTCAAGGCCAAACAATTTAAAAATATTAAACAAGCTGAAATTTTACCATTCTTAAAAAAAGTCATTCTGGTCCTTCAAATAATTATTATTGGCCATAGACCATATATTATTGTTCAATACAGTTAGGTCAATGACTAGATGAATATTACATAATAGAGTACAGTTTCAATAATATCAGTCATCTACGAAAGTTTTAAAAAATTAATAAAACTCTCTCATATCATTGACAATGTATATGTTGAAGTTAGGCTCGTAAAGTCTTTGATTAAAGATTAATTCAAACAATATAAAAAGGTAATGAGAAATGGCTCTCATGGCAGCCTTATGAAAAAAGAATCCCCAAAATATGCTGCAAACATGCTAAGAAACTGGGTTCCTGGAGACATTTTCCTTCCAGTGTTCCTGTTTTCATACATTTCGTCTTCTTCTCATCCTCAACCTACACCACTACCTCTGGCTCTGGCTCTGGCTAGATAGATTTTTGCAACATTTATAAAAGTTTTGAAGAACTTCATTCCATATATTTCCACAAATATCACCCCTCACAGGGCAAACCAGTCCCAATAGCTTGAGAGAAGACCTTTTGGATATAAGTTTGGCATTTATACAATGGTTAGGCAGGTCAAAGACTAATTTTACAGAACAAAACGTTTACGTATTTGATCAAATATTTTTATACACAGTGCATTTCATAACAGTATTTCAGGGCAAATCATTTTATGTGGTAGCATCAGTCAAGACCATTAATGTAAGTAATGTATGTAAGAGGTTGCATGGTGCTCCTTCCGGAATTTCAGTTAATATGTTTAAATATTTTCCCACATCCATTTTAATGCTGCACACTAAAACACAACTACTTGATGAAAAAGTTTTCTTAAGTGTTGAATATAATGTATATTGAGATCAAAATTAACAAGTACTTTAAAAGCTATTTGAATTGCTCATTGAGGAGATAAAATGCTTGTTAAAATTTAACCCACCTGTTCCTCAGGATCATCATATTCGACAACCCGGATGATTTCATTGACATCAAATGATAGTTCATCTGTATCTTCACGATTGTACTTATAAGTGGCTTTAACTCTGTAGAGCACTCCAGGAGGCAGATTATCCGTGGTGGCACCTATGACAGAATGACTCGATAAGATGTGACAAACCGGGAAAGAAATAATAGCATGAAATAATATCAGTCAATATAAATCACAGACAACATAACTGTCATCTGGGTATTGAACTGAATTTAATACAAATTGTCAATAAAGAAAAACAATGGTGATTTTAGTTATGTGAACTCATTACTGACAACATGACCATTCCTTGCATGTTCAATTAATTAAAGATCATCTTAAAAGAGCCTTTAAAGGTTAACAAAAATATATTATATCAAATATCGTCAATGGAATTTGGAAACACCAATAGAATAAGTTATCGTGTCATGCCATGAGTTAAAATAAATATTAGAAACCATCCTAATGTGTTGATTAATAAAATGACGGACAACAGTTGATTAAAAATAAAAACTGAAAACCATAAATTTTATTACTTTTAAGAATTATTTTCAGAGAATACAAATCACAGTCAAAGAATTATTATATCTTATTACAAAGAAGGTTTTAAGGGAGGTAAGGAAAACTAGAAAAGGGACCAAAAATAAGAGCAATGAGGAAAAATTGTTTTCAAACCTTATACAAATGAATAAGAATACAACACAACAAAAAGAAGATGACAAACTCAGAAATGGAGAGGAATATCTCTCAAGGAAAGAGGTGCTTATTACTTACCCACAGGAATATCATACAGTTCCTCCACATGCGTGTTGTTATTGGGAGACGCTGGGCTAGGCAGTTTGCTGTTACCGTTTACCTGGGTGGGAGGGGGACTGGGTTGCTGGTTGGTGGGAGTGGTTGGCTCAGGGGACGGGGGTTTCGCAGCTGGTGTGAGGGCTGGAGCTGGGGCAGGGGCTGAGACTGGAAGTGGGGCAGGCTCAGCTGTGATGTTATTAGGAGGAGGACTTTTAGGTAATGGAGGAGTGGAAGGCTCATGAGGAGATGTGTTAGGGGTAGTCTCCGCTGCAACACACCACAAAAATAAAACATCAAAACAAAAACCATGCACTTACTGTTAGCATTATTCTAGAACAAATTGTTACAACAAATGTAACATGCAAAACATACAAATACACTTCTAAAGCAATCTCAAACAGAAGAGGCAAGGTGTTTTATACTTTGATTTAATTATACTGACATCTAACTTTCAATCAACTGGATGTGGTTATCCAATCGAGAGTTTCATTACAACTTAATTTCTGGAATTATAGCTCCCAATTGGATAACAGTGTTCCAGCATCGTAAACAACAACTGTGACTATAATTAAATCAGAGGAAAGAACTCTGTACATTTCCCATAGACATTGTGTGTTTTGCTTTAAAATTCTTCAGCCATTATTTAATGGCAGTATCGTAACAAATAATGGGAAATACCAAGTTATTAGATGGAAAATTACACCTTCTAAATCCTGTAGAGTAATCTTAAATACTTCATTAATAGCAGTACAATTTATGATAATCATTTTTCTGTAATTTTAACTTGTTCCTTAATTGTCAATAAAAAAAAATATATTTTTTTTCTTGAGCAGGTTAAAATATTAAATGATTGTAGGGTTCTTGAAAGAGTGACCAAGATAATTCACCTTTTCAATTATTTTTTAAAGAATTGAGACTAATAGACATAGAAGAAGTCAAATATGAAAGAAGGCAGGCCTAGAAAATAAAATGTGAAGAAAATAGCTGCAGCACGTTAGAGGCAGATTTACATGCAAGAATGTCCTCAAAGGTTACAACAAAATACCTGGAACAGCAGTTGGAGATGATGGCACACTCTTAATCAAGCTGTAACAAAAGAAAGAAAAAAATCTCAAACTGCTATTGAATGAATAAAATGAAAAAGAGAGAAATGATCTAGATTGATATGTAGATTACTGCATACATATAAACTTCGAATTTTAATGTAGATTAAAGACATATACAAATTTTATTTTTCCTGTTTTCTTTAATATTTATTTTCTTTAATATTTATTACTAATCAACTGTATAATTTTTGGTAAACAATTCTTTACTATTGCAGCTAGTTTGTCTATGGAAATAGCCATTTGAATTTCAAGACACTTCATTCACATAATTTTTTCCACAAATCCCATTTGAAATATTAAATCAGAATTGATATGTAATCTGTTTGTATTTCATATTCTTCCTTAAAACTTGTGAACAATTAAATGAATGATAAATGTGTCATTATTATAATTAGATATTGAGGAGGACTAGCTCAAATTAGCTCAGCATACTTTTTGCAAGACCATGTGATTGTAAGGAAAACCAATGAAAACAGGGCAGTAACAAAAAATACATATTTGCACTAACATACTACATATTTCGAAGAGAAATATTTTTACATACGAGAAAGGCTTGGGCTGATTAGGGATTGAAAGTAACAAAAGTCTATTTACTTGTTGTTTCCAGTGGGAGACTTGGGAGACTTAGGTGATGTTTTCTTCAGAGTATAAGACCCTCGTTGACAGTCAGATGCAAGTTTATCAACAATCGCTTCCAGTTCCGAGTATACCTAGAACAGCACAATTTTTATCAGTATTTCTTGTAAAATACTTTTTCTAAAGGTAATTTACATTCCTCCAGTTTTCAACAAAAAGCAATGAAGTAAACATAATTGAAAATAAAATATTACTATTTAATCCATCAATACAACTATTCCTCCTTTTTCATTCAAAGATGTAACATATGAACACACACCCATTCCATTATTAATGGCAATAATAACAAGAATTATGAAGTTTTTCCCTAACAATACCTTGGCAGTTTCTGCATGGAAGACTTGTTCAGCAGAGAAGAGAGTCTGCAGGTTTGTAACGAGAAAGAGCACGCGCGAATCATTAAGTGCAGGCAGTTCATCATGTAGCTCACTGTTCAGCACTTCATAAGTGCGCTTTGCTTCTTCCAGTTGCTCACGTGCACGAGTCACCTTCACTTCATCACGTTTCTTTGGATTGTTCTGAAGGGATTGGAAGTTGTGTCTCTGGCTGTCATAGTCCACAAGTTTGCGACCTCTTTTATCAATTTTTTTCTGAAATGAGAAATGAATTTTTGTATTATTCAGGACTTCTTTTAAGATCTATACAAATTTTTAGTAAGTTATCAAGAAGATAAGAAAATCTGAGAAAAAAAAAATTATTATTATGTAAGAACTCATTTTCAATTATTTCAACAACTAAAAAATATAACCACATAAGGTTGATTGGGTTTAATGCCCTTGAATGTATCATTGTCTAGTAAAAGAAATAATTTAATATATGCCTCAAAAACCGCACTCTACGCTGTGGAAGAATATCTATATTACTGATTTCCAAAGGGAATAGGAATTGAAAGAAATCACTTCAGCCTCCGGCCAAGTGAGAGGGATCTATAATTAGGTACTTAGGAAAATTCAAAAACAATGAAACAATTTCGATGTGGTCTAAAAATGCACATATCTGATAGAGTTATTTTGACTCTTGTTATATTCTGCATATGTACAATTCTCATACACAGTGCGCCATGATTTGACCCAGCTACTATCAAACAACAGCAATTTCTTTTATATTCTTGGTATGTGAAGAACCATTGTACTCTCAACAAAAAATTAAATATTAGAACAAAGATTATTTACAAGACATTACAAATGAAATATAAGAGTATTTTATTTGTTGTCCTTGAGTGGTGTGCATACCTTTTGGAAAACTGTTTTGTGTGGTTTCGTTAAGTATTTTTGCTGCTGCAGGTTATCATTAAGAATGTAGAAAACAGTCTAAGGTGCTCAACTACATTGACATATTTTTGTAATCTATCAATTCTCGTAAAAATTAGACTACAAAATCTCCCATAAACTGTCACTAAGAAGTGAATATATTTTGGAAAGAAGTGAAAGTCATTTTGTGATCAAGACAAATGTCTCTCATAAGAAGAATTTTTCTTTTACACTACCCAGCATGCATGCACACCCACCAACACCGCCCCCCCGTACTCTCACCCATACCTCTATTTATACATACTCATAGTGCATACGTACGCACGTGTACACTTGCAGATCCGCCTTTCCGAATTCAGAGGTGACCAATATGTACTATTTATATAAACACGAGGAGCGAACCTAAGATGAAGCGGAAGAAGAATATTTATTTCAAGAAAGTCACAAAAATGACTGTACACTGGCCATGGAACACACAACCACAAATTCCGGCTATTTTTAAGTTACATTAGCTCGTTTTTGGTCAATTAACGAGTTTTTAGTAAATATTAAAAATCAGAAAAGTTTCGCGATATTTGGCTCCCAATTCATATATAATTTTTAAAAATATTATATTACTCCACACATTTATGTTATAACGTACGGGCTTGTTACAAGAAATTCGCGTTTCTTTTTGCTAACTTACAAGATTTAGGCGGGAAAGAGTCACAAAATAAAAATTCCATTAAGATGTCAACTGTTATTTCTGCTCGCTGCCCCACGCCCCCTGGCGGCTCGCACTCACCCGCATCTCCGGGAACTGGCTCTGGTAGGTGTTGAGCGGGATGAGCACCTGGTCGCCCAGCTTGTGGCTGAAGTCCTGCCACAGCATCTCCACGTTCTGCGCCTGCACGTAGAGCAGGTCGTGGCCCACCCAGTTGCTCTCGTACACCTCGTTGAGCGTGTCCATCAGCGTCTTGCTCGCCGTCTGCACCGCTGCACGAAACAGACGAGGGCGGGCGCATCAAACACGGGGTGTAACAATGGCCAACAACAATATCACCTCACTGTGATCAACGTTAACCCTTCCACGCAACTGGTACTCTTTGTCAGCAAAGAAAACACTGCTGGGCACCCAACGTTTCGACCCTTCCCTCAGGGTGCTCTATGGGTATGGGAGGGGTTCATGAGAGAGGCTATGTACTTGCGCAACAGACGAGGGCGGGCGCTTAAAAAGAGGGTCGGGGGGGGGGGGCTTATGTAACAACGGACAACAATAGACATCAACATTAGCCTGTCCACATCACTAATCATCCAACAAAACAATGTTGTGCATCCAATGTTTCGATTCCTCACTAGCACACTGCTCTAGCATGGGACGGGTTCATTGGAGAGGCTATGTAGTCAAGTATTCATTTCTTAACCTTTTGAATGATTTCAATTATTTGAAAATTAGAAGAAACTTTTCCTTCTCAATCCCCTACATTATTTTACTAGTTTTATTTATTTATTTAGTCAAAAAGAGTAAAAAAAAAAAACCTGTAACGTATGGTGGAAAAGTAACACATGCGCAAGTTTTCTTGAGTTCCAGAATCCCTTCCCAACATTTTAACTATAAATATTTGATGAATAAAAGTTTGAAGCGAAGCGATGTTTGCAACTTTTAAAAACTTAGATATTGTCGCTCCCGATTTATAGAAACTTATTTGCACCTGTAAACAAATTGCAGGTTTTAATTTTTTTTTTGTATTGCTAAGAAAATAGTAGCATATCCCCGGCGTTACTCCTACCACTAGTAGCAAAATATGAGTTCGACAAAACGTGCGCTACATTTCTAGTGAAGCTACATTTATGTCCAGAGGCAAAACAAGGAGCCATCACAATATTTGCTCGATGGATCAGGGAAACTGGACAAAAACCTGATCGAGATGGAGTTCATTGACCCGGAAGCTGAAGTACATTATTTGTTACAGGCATATTAAGTAATTTTTATAATTATACAATACAAAGGTAAACTAATGCAATATTGTTAAAATATAATTATTTTTTGCATCAAGGGCGTTATATGCAGGGTTCTAATGAATTTAAATAATGTTCTTTCGTGCCAATACGGTGTATCTAGTCTTTGGTACAAGGTTATCCAATCTAGATCAACACCATGCACAAATTCCACACGAGAGCAAGGTGTTATGGTCAATAACGTCAAAGACTTTCGAAGGTCTAGAAATATTTCAATATACGCTTCATTTATGCCCACTGACGAAGTAACATCTTTAAGAAAAGAAGAAGCTAGAAAAGAGAATCGCAATCACTGTAGATACTTTTTAAGTAAAGGCTCAGAGATAATCAGAAAAGAACCGTGTAAATACTCAGTACAGCTGACCCTCTATGACCTAAGGAATTTATTATCCAGAATTAATGAATTTAGTAATAATTAGTAGTGATTAATAAGTAGAATTTGCTAGTTAATCATTTAATTTGACTCATTATTAGCGTATAACAGTTTTTAAAACCCTCATGGGCGATGCGCAGAAGGGTTAATCTTCGAAAACCAGGATA